CATATGATCCAGCAATCCCACTCCTTGGTATCTACCCAAAGGACAGAAGAATTCTTCATTGGAAAAGTGCTTGCACATCGATGTTTATTGTGGCATTATTTACAATTGCTAAGACATGGAACCAACCCAAATGTCCACAAACAGATGAATGGTTTGAAAAAGTGTGGCACATATACTCTATGGAATACTATTCTGCCATAAAAACAACAAAACCCTGGCTTTTGACAGGAAGTGGATGAATATGGAAGATTTACTGCTGAGTGAAGCAAGCCAGGCTATAAATGAGAGACATTGTATGTCCCCACTTAATATATACCGAGTGTCCACACTCTATGACTGAAACTGATTGACTAAAGGATATAGAAACACAGTAAATGGATGTAAATACCAAATATAGTGTGTGTGAAAGAGTAGGGTCTGAGGAAGGACATTTAGAAGAAAAATAGAGAGGCAAAGCATTAATGGGACAAAGAAATGTGTTATTATCTGTTGAAGATATTTTATAGTTTTATCAATTGGACTAGGGAGAAATGTTCTCATGTTGAAATATTCACTTTAGCTAAATAATGTGATTGAATGTATAAAAGAAAATGAAATAAAAAAGTAAATGAAGAGGGTCACATTGAGCTGCAAGCTGCTGCAGGGGCCTCTTTAGGAGTCAGCACCATGGCAGAAGACATCAAGACTAAAATCGAGAACTACAAGACTGCTCCTTTCGACAGCCGTTTCCCCAACCAGAACCAGACCAGGAACTGCTGGCAGAACTACCTGGACTTCCACCGCTGATAGAAGGCAATGACCGCTAAAGTGGGTGACGTCTCTGTGTGCGAATGGTACTGGCGTGTGTACAAGTCCCTCTGCCCCATATCCTGGGTTTCAACCTTGGATGACCGCCAGGCAGAAGGCACATTTCCTGGGAAGATTGGAACTGGCTTCACCCACCTCTCCTCTGCCCTCCGTCCTTGTCTCAGGTGGCAAAATGGGACCTGGGTACATGGTTATCCACCCATGTACCACCCTGGGACCTTGAATCATGACTTTAATAATAGAAGTTCATTGGAAAAAAAAAGTAAATGAAAAAATAAAATAAACATAAAAAAGTCTTTTTTTTGTTCTCTTACCGTTTCTGAACCATATTTAGTTTAGAGCTGCCTGATTAATAAATCACTGTTTAAAAACATTTTCTAAAATTTCCTTGTGACTCAGTTTGCCTCTTAACAGATTGTATGAGCACTCCTGTTCCATCTTTACCAAAACTATATTTTGCCAAACATATTAATCTTTGTAAATGTGATAAATAAAATTATTTGTTTAAATTTGCCTTTGTTTATGTGAGGTACATGTGTGTATGTACCAAAATTCCCAATGAGATGGAGAAATCGAGAAGGGATTTCAGTGCGACCATACTATGTGTGAGTACATTCTTCTACTCTCTTTGCCTCTGTCTCTCTTTAACAACTGCACATGCTCCCTGGTAAATAAATAATAAATTTGCCTTTCTTTGATTGTGGTTAAGACTCAATATCATTTAATATAGCTATAAACCACAAGAGGCTTTTTGGCTAAGAGCATGTCATATCCTCGTACCCTAGGGAAGTTGGCAATAGTTATTTAATCTTTCCATGCCTCAGTTTCCTCAAGTAGCATAGTAACAGTAAGTTCGTGGGTACTTTGAAATGAAAGGAATTAATAAAGATAAAATTTTCATAAGATCCCTGATGACGTGAATGCTGTTTAAAATTGTCTATTTTTTTTTTTTAATAAAGCTCCTCTTCACATCTTTTGCCTTTAAAAAAATTTTTTTTGGAGAGGTTTTTTTTTCTTTTTTGCTATAGGGTGCATGCTCTCACCAGACAGACAGAGAGAGACAGAAAGCGAGAAATCACCCCCAAGGGGGAATGGCCATGCCACAATCCCTTCTCCTCTATTCTCCTCTCGGGATCTTGGGCACACACGCACATGTGAGTTTAAGTCATCGGGTCCAAGACTTGAACTGTGGTCAGTTACACGGGAGTTCAGCTACATAGCCATTATGCTAACTGCTGGTCCATTTCTCTTTATTAATCTAGGCAAAGCACTGTTTTTTTATTTTATTGGAATTTTCACTGAACTATTGATTTTAAAACTTATTGTTTATTTGTTGTTCTCTAAATTGTATTTTTTATTTAATATTACTTTTTTTCTTTTACTTTTCTTGGAACTGTTTAGACATTTGCTGTCTTTTTTAGTTAGAATCTAAATAATATGCTTTCATACTTCATATTTAATGAGAACAGCATTTTCATACTTTTGATATGTTGTTTGTATCAGAATCACCAAATTTCAAAATCATGGGTAAGGTATTGTAGTATATTTTGTTTTCCTCTTTGAACAATAAGTTATTTAAGAGTACATTTATTGATTTTTATAATTCAATTTTCTTAGTACATTTATTGTTTTTTATAATTCAATTTTCTTGAATTTGTCCTTATTTATAATTTTATTGCATTGTGGTAAAAACATGTGGTATGTATACTTTGTGCTTTGAGAAAATGATCATAGTGTAATCAATCAGAAGAAAGTTTCACTTTTATTATGTTAGGTACAATGTTCATTATGTAACTAATAAGTCACCTTATTAATTTTTAAATTTATATTGTAAATTTATCATCAACATTATTATTATTATTTTAAGTTTTTACCATAGTGTGTGTGTGTGTGTGTGTGTGTGTGTGTGTGTGTGTGCCAGAGAAAGAGACAGAGAAAGGGAAAGTGTGAAATCACCCCCCTACCCCGGGGAGATGGGCCATACCACAGTCCTTTATCCTCCATTTTTCTGGAATTTTGTGCATGCTCACACACACGCATGGAATGATTTTCAAGCCACTAGGTCCAGGACTTGAACCATGGTTGGCTATGTGGGACTCCTGCACCTTAACCCCTATACCACCTGCTGGCCCATTTTTTAAAATTTCTTATGCATTAGATGGATATGATTTAAAAATCCAATTCTAGGGAACCAGCAGTTAGCGTAATGGCTATGTCGCTGGACTCCCACGTAGTCGACTGCGGTTCGTGTCCCGGACCCGGTGGCTTAAAACTCACGCCGGGCGCGTGTGCGTGCGTGCCCAAGATCCTGAGAGGAGAATGGAGGAGAAGGACATTACACAAGTTACATAACCCCCTTTGCATAGCATCATTAAATTGTGCCTAACTCATGTTATGTTTGAAAGTTGAATGTTATATGATTTAATGTACATATATGTTTTGCATAATGTTTAAAAATTGTAAGTGCTTTTACTTAAAAATTTACTCTTCTTTTTGTCTCTGTCTTATTTTGTTCTTTACCCTGATGTGAAGATCTTTGTTTTTTAATAGATGAATTTATACCTTTCAGTGTTGTTTCCATTTTAGTTTCTCTTTCTAAAGCCCATTTTCTCTTTTCATTATTTGATATATTTTACCATATAGAGCATCTTGTCTAAGTTCACACACCAAATGGTAGAGCCTGGATTTGAATCCAGGTTTTTCTAAGTAGAAATCTCACACTTTTTCCCAAATACTAGACAGCTTCATAATAATATTGATTTCTCAGTGTTATAATGAGGAACAGATATAATTAGTTTGTATATGTCCTAGCACAGTGCCATATATATTTCTTTTCTTCCTGTTCTTTCCTTCATGCCCTATAACCATAACTTACAGTTTTAGGAGCTGTTTGCTGGTACAGTTTGGTGAACAAGACCATTGTTTTTCAATTCTGTTTCACTTTCTTGCTTCAGTAGAATTTTTACTTTCTTGTTTGTTTTAGTTTTTTGCTATAGTACGCATTTGCTTGCCAGAGAGAGAGAAAGAGAGAGAAAGGGAAAGTGAGAAGTCTTTCCCCCAAGTGGGGATGACCAGGCCACATTGCAATCCCTTCTTCTACAGTCTCCCCTTGGGATTTTGGGCATGCATGCATACACTCCTGGTGTGATTTTCTTTTCTTTTTCTTTCTTCTTTCTCTTTTTTTCTTTCTCTCTTTTTCTTTCTTTCTTTATTCTTTTTGAGATATTTTTGTCAAAGGGCACATATACTTGCCAGAGAGATAAGAAAATGAGAAATCACCTCCCAGGGAGGATGGCCACACTGTAATTCCTTCTCCTTCACTTTTCTGTTGTGATTTTGCATATGCATGTATATGCACCCAGTGTGAGTTTTAAGCCAAACCATGATCAACTATGTGGAAGTCCAGCGACATACTGTTGTATCATCTGCTGGTCCCAGCCCTGCATGATTTTTAATCCACCAGTTCTGGGACTCAAACCACTCAGTTGGCCATGTGAAATCTGGCATCTTAACCTCTACTTCATCCTGGCTCAAGTTTTCAACAATAGCATGTTATCTGACAATTAAAAGTAGGAAATTAGTTTATCACTGAATTACAAATTTCTTGGTGTGAACTGCCATATTTCTTTTTTATTAAAAAAAAAAGAATTATTTTATTTAACTTTATTTATTTATTTTAATTTGACCAGAGAGGGACAGGGTGAATATAAGAGAGAGATAGAGATAGAGAAAGTGAGAAAGCAAGATGCCAGGTCAAGACTGAAACAGCAGTCAGCCATGTGGGAGTCTAGCACCCTTAACCACCACGCCACCTGGCGAACCCTGAACTCCCATATTTCATTGATTCCAAAATGTATGTTTTATACATTACAGGAGCTCTAACACTAAGCTGGTACTTGTATTTGATTTGTGTCTTACAATTAGATCTGGCAATGCTTTTCTTATTTCATAAAATTTCTAGGTGGCCAAGCTAAGTCTAGAATGTAACTTTCCTAATTTCTACTGCACACATTTTTCTCCTTTGTTTGACCCTTGAAGAAGTTTCATCTTAATTTTACTGTATTCTTTCTCTTATGTGAATCGTGAGGAAATATGTAAATTCTTGTTGGTTCTATAAGCACATATGCCATATTTACTCTGAACTACAAATACAGGGTGGCTCTCGACACTGAGTGGATGTGCTCTCTTTCTGGTTCTCACAACCAGAAGTCTTTGTCTGTCTCTTCCTTTGAGCATTGGCAAATTTATTAGCCCTTTCCTGTCCCTAGTTACACTTTTTAATTAACTTTTTTCTATCTCAAGTCTGAATTCCATTTGTCACTCATCTACTATATTAATTCCTACCTATAAAATAGTTATGGATTCTATTAGCCAATGAAGTGTTAATCCATCTTAAATAGATGTTTAGAAAGTTCCTTCATATAGTACAAAGGGGCACACGTAGTTAATATAACAAAAGATACAGAGTCATCAATCACACTTTTGTTTTTTATGTTTCTCTCCTTTTTGGTCTTTTTAATACCTGTTCAAAAGTCTCTGAACATAGTAGGTATTCAGTAAATTTGCCAGCAAGAAGATAGAATTAACAGGGGCTATATAGCAACAGCTTTTTCTCCCCACTAAACTTAAAACAGAAAGCAGTATTTAGCATAGTGTTTGGCACATCTCAGGCACTTAACAAATGATAGTTCTTTTCTTTCATTTTCTAAGCAATTATATTCATATAACAGTTTATATGAACTGTAGACACAGGCCCTGACATTGCCTCCTACTATATAAGGAATCTGGTCGAACACTAATGCTTTGCCAACTTATAGAATATTATAAGTTAGGAATATAAAAGACAATTTGGTCTAGAGTCTTCATTGTACAGGTGAAGGTCCACATTGTGAGTGGTTGTACATAGTCTCATTAGCCCATTTCTCTTGATGCTAGTTATTCAGTAGTTAGAAGACCCTCTTCCTTTTAAAACATGTGCAGTTCTAAATGTTACTAAACTTCCTAACTTCTGGAACCAGCAGAAAGCATAATGGTTACGATGATGAATTCCCATGGAGTCGACTGTGGTTCAAGTCCCAGAACCAGCAGCTTGAAGCACATGCCGGGTGCATGTGCGTACATGCCCAAAATTTGAGGAGGAGAATAGAAGGGATTGTAGCATCACCAAGTGATTTCTCACTTTCTGTCTTTCTGATGAGTGCACGTGACCTATAGCAAAAATCTCTCTTAAAAAATAAACAAAACAAAAAATTTTCCTAACTTCTAGGACA